AATTTTCCTGGAGTTTATAATTAGTTATCTCAGCTTGCTTCAGAACTCTCATCAATGCGGTTTGTGACTTTAAACTCTGCCTAAAACAGTGAAGTTAAGTTGAAGGCTTTACTGGACTGAATATATGTTTTGGGTTTTGGGTTATTTTGAGAGACTACGGATCATCACATTTTGACTTCAGCCACCCCTTCAACTTATTTTTGCTTTTTGTGGGGTGACCATGGATCTGCTCAGAGCAGAGATTGCCCAGTTAACCCAGCAAGTGGCTCTTTTGACTGCACAGGTGGCACAAATGCAAGCTGCCTGGCCATGCCAAAAATGCCTAGAGGCAGTGCCAGATAAATTTGATGGTTCGCTGGCCCAATTTCCAGCATTTTTTGGGCAGTGCCAGCTTTATATGAGCCTTCGGCCTTTCCCACTGACTGGGATAAGGTGGAGTTTTTGATTCGTTTATTGTCAGGCTCTGCAGCACGTTGGGTGACGCCTCTGCTGACCCAGCACAACCAGGTGTTGGACAATTACGCCGAGTTTTCAGGCCATGTTTGAAGACCCTGCTCGAAGCCAAACAGCAAACAGACGTTTGAGAGAGCTGAAGCAGGGGTGTGGCTCACTCATGGATTATATTGCTAGTTTTGGGGTGGTTGCTCAGGATGTACAATGGAATGAGGCAGCACTATTAGACCAGTTCCAGGAAGGTTTGTCGTCGGAACTTCTGGATGAGTTGGTGCGCACTGAATGCCCTCGCACCTTTCAGGAGCTCATGCATTTGTGTCTTCGTATCGATGCTAGACTTCAACAGAGATGGGTACGACGATGGACAGAGACCGTATCTGTTTCCAGCAAGATGGCACCCTTGGAGGAAGTGCCTTTGGAGGAACCCATGCAGTTGGGGGCTGGCCGCCCTCGCCTGACTCAAGTAGAAAAGATTAGACGTCGTTGTGATGATTTATGTCTCTATTGTGGCAATTGAGGCCATTTTACAGCCAAATGTCCTGTTAAGACATCCACAGCAGTGACACTTGCGGTGGCGGGAAACGAGCATTGTTCAGCCTACGGGGGTCTGCAGGTCGGGATGTAAAGTCCATAGGCCCGCCATCTTCACCAACCTTGCCACACTCGCCACCTTGGACATCTTCGACATCTCCTCCACAGTCACTATTGGTGAAGCATCTTGTGTTGCCATGAAGTGCGTTGGTGCCTGGTGTGGGAGCGGTGGAGATCCCAGCTTTGATCGACTCAGGGGCCACAGTCAATTTCATGGATGCTCATTTTGTCAAGCAGTGGTTCATTCCTCAGCAACAGGTATCCCCACCAGTAATGGTGGAGACGATTGATGGTCGTTTATAATTAGTTATCTCAGCTTGCTTCAGAACTCTCATCAATGTAGTTTGTTTTGGTTTTCTGTTTGCCTCCTTATCTACTTTTGTGACTTTAAAGTGTGCCTAATAAAACAGTGAAGTTAAGTTGAAGACTTTACCGGACTTTAATATATGTTTTGGGTTTGGGGTTATTTTGAGAGACTACGGGTCATCCCAGAATGGGGCTCTCCCTGCACACATAAACAGTTGCAAAGCTTTTTGGGGTTTGCCAACTTCTATCGGCAATTCATCCCAGCTTTTGCACAAATTGTGCTCCCAGTCACCAACTTGCTAAAAACAAAAGAGAGGGAAGGTAAACCCAAATCAAGGCAGCTCTGAATTGGACCATGGAATGTCAAGTGGCATTTGAAAAACTTAAGTGGTTGTTCTCAGCAGAACCTGTGCGGAAGCACCCAGACCCAAAAAAACTTTTGTCATCCAAGCAGACAGCAGTGACATGGCAGAGAATGAACAAGGCCAATTGCATCCCTATGCATACACCTCAAAAAAACCCTAACAGAAACAGAACAGAAATGGGCTGTTTGGGACAAAGAGGTGTATGCTGTTCAATGGGCTCTCCCTACTTTGGAAGCATTTCTTGGAGATGAATAAAATTCCCTTCTAGGTCTGGACTGACCACAAACATCTGGAGGCCGTTAAGACCCTGTGGAAACTATTCCCAAAGCAAGTACAGTGGCCCATTTTATTTTTAAGCACTTTGACTTCACTCTCAAATACCTCCCTAGGGGTGGGGGGAGGAAGAACTTCCTAGCCAATGCTCTATCCAGAATGCCCCAATACAACAGCATTAAGTCAGAAGTGGTCAAACCCTTGCTCTCAGCTTCCCAACTGGCCGCTAAGGTAATGACCAGGGTGCAAGGAAAACTGGACCTGACAACCAACAATGCTACCACACAAGCATTCATACAGGCACTCACACAGATGACTGGTTCCAGGCTCATAAGAATACTTGCTCGCTAAAAGACAGCCTGGCATGAATGGGAAGGACACTGTATGTCCCAGCTAGCCAGAGACTCAACCTCATGAAAGCCTACCATGATTCAAAGCTAGCAGGCCACTTCAGATTTGCACTTGATAAAAAGGCAATTCTGATAAAAAGGCAATGTCAAAAAGACATTGAAAGCTATGTGGCTAGTTGCCCTGTCTGTGCAGCCAAAAAGAGAAGGCAGGGAAAAATCCCAGGGCTGTTGCCAATCCCCACTGCCAAAATTCTGGCCAAAGTGTTCCTACTTCATATCTATTGGTTGCATGGAGCCCCCCAGAGGATTATATCAGACCTAGGGGTCCAATTCAAAATTCTGCAGAGCTTTTTGAAGCCTCCTGGGTACTGATCATCCTCAGACAAATGGGGGGATGGAACAAATGAACACTAAACCATTTAAGTAAGATAGGGGACAGAATATACCTAACCACTAAATTTATACAATCCTTGCAACCCTCTAAGAAATTAGAACCAAAATACATAAGACCTTTCCCCATCACCCGGATTATAAATCAGGTGACACTTGAACCACTACTACCAAAAACCCTCAGGCACGTGCACCCTATATTTCACTGCAGTTTGCTGAAACCAGAAATCACTTCTCCACTTAGGCTACCTGAAAAAGCACTACCTCCCCCCATTATGGTCAAGGGAGAACAATACTTTGAGTTCAAGGAAATCTTTGACACATGCACACACCATGGTGCCATGCAATACTTAGTATCCTGGAAGCATTTGTCTTCATCCCAAAGTGAATGGGTAGCTAAGAAACATATCAGGGCCTCAAAGTTACTGAGATTATTTCATGCTCAATATCCTGATAAGCCTAACTAAACAATTGCTCTGTATCTCTCCTTGTGTTTCCTTTCCAGGAAGGATTTCTCCTTCTAGGGAGGCAGCATGTCAGATCCCATAGATCCTTATCAGGATGCTGCCATTCCAGTGGGGAAGGGGCCTGGAAGCATTCCTCTGTTTATAATCTTCTTCCCGGTGCCTGTCTATCCTGTGCTTTGACTGACCTACCTGGGAATATAAGGGAGGAGGGCCACCTGTTTTATCTCAGCTCCGAAGCCTCCAGGAGGCGATGCCTGAGAACAACTTATCATCATCTCAGTCTGTGATTCTCAAAACATCTTTGTGCCTGTGGATTGGCTTATTCAGCACCGGACTGAGGGGAGGGGTCTCTAACTGTTTTAATCCAACAGAATTGCATGGGAATCCTCAGATCCTGCTTTCATTTTTCTTGCTATTACTTTCCTTTCAATAAAAGTTTTCTTTTGAAATGCTAAGTGCTTCAAGAGTTCTACTTTCTTGATCAGAGAGGAGAGGCAAGTCTTTACAATCAGGCCCAGGTTGCTACTTGGATAGAAGATAACCAAGAAATTCCAGGGCCCTAGATCAGATTGGGAAATTGATTTGCATTCCAGAAGAAAAGATTGCTCCATTGCTCTGTTTCATGGAGTCTGTACAACATCATAAGGAGGTGTGTTTAGCTCAAAGAGATTTTCCCTAATAAATACATAAACTACCAGATGAAATAATGTTTATGAATGATATTTACATAATTGGGTTGCTTCTATATAGCAGAGCTAAAACAGAAAGTATTCTTCTAAAATGAGAAAAATATGAACACATTAGCAACTTGGAGATTTATTTCTTGGTACGTTTTCATCTATATACTACTAAAACTCTCTTTCTTGTAACCTTTAACTGTGTGATATGGTGCAACACAGGACAAGCCTTTCTGAACCAAAGTATGTCAAATAGGATAATTACAGAATGTGCCCAAAATCTGGAACCCATGACCTCCATGAAGTTGAAGTTTGGCAAATTTTAAACAACATTTTATGACCAAAAATTGTTTGAAGCTCTGTAATTTTAACAATTGAGGCATTGAGGAAACTGATAAGGAAATATCTCTGAAAGGATGATCCAAGGAATCATGGACTGCCTAGTTCCCCTTAAAAGAGAGCTGAACTTGTTATGGGACAGGATTGTGAGGGCAGCAAGCTAAACTGGCTAGTTGTGTACAGAATACAGCTGTCTGTCATCCCCAAAGGGGAAGAGTGAGCAGGAGGAGCCAGAAAGAATAGCAGAGCTATTTCTGCTACCCCTGCCACCCCAATATCTGTTTCTGAGGTGATTGTTTCAGTCTGCCTATTGGCAGAGCTGCTTTTAAATATGTTCAGAAGTTTAATTTACTTACTTATTTTGTATGGCTATCAAAACTGCAAAAAGCAACTCTAGCTGGCTAACATAAGATTAAAAACAAAACAAACAATAAAAATAAAGTCAGAAGGTCACAAAATGTGATCTCAGATCCCAGGACACTGCACCTGTTATAAATATGAACCAGTTGCCCAGTATCCAAATTTTGATGAAGTGATCATGGGGATGCTGCAAGCATTGTAAGTGTGAAAAATGGTCACTTTTTTTTTAGTGCCACTGTAACTTTGAACAGATATTAAATAGCTCTTATATGGCAAGTACTACCTGTATTTTATTCCAGTGTTCTGGTACCCCTTAGATGGGGGAGAGTGCTTCAGATTGGGACTACAAAGGCCAGTCTGCTGGAAACTGGACTAAACTGGACTAAATTCATTCTGAAATTAATTTAAAATGCATAAAACCAGACTCACCTGGTGTTCCAAGATGGGCCTGAGCAATGGTTAATTTCTCATGAGGAGCTCTGCACTGACAGCTTGTTTCACCTGCAAATGGAGCCGGTGCTGTCAAAGTCTAGAAGATGGGAAAGGTTAGATTATGAAAAATGAAAGCAAAATAAATTGTCAGTTGTGGAAGTTATCACATGTGAGTTTATTGCTCCTTGCATCCACTGAAATTAGTTAGCTAGTTAGTTAGTTTACTTTGTTGTCATTGTACCTCATACAACAAAATCAAACACCATCTTCAGTGCACATCATGACCATGAAAATAAACACAAACAAACATACAGTAGAATTCAACAGAGCTACTGCCCTGGAATAGAAGCTGTTTTTCAGCCTATTTGTCCTTGTTATTATTATTCTGTACCGTCTGCCAGATAGTAATGGTTCAAAAAAAGGGTGCCCAGGATGAGATGGATATTTGAGAATGTTTTGAACTTTCTTAAGGCAGTGGGAGCTTTTCCAAAGAGGGGAGAGGGCAACGAATGATCTTCTGGGCAATGATGTTAACCCTCTGGAGTGCTGTCCTATCTGCCACTGTGCAATTAGCAAACCATATACAGGCGCAGTAAGTTAAGATACTCTTTATGGTGCAGCGCAGGGAAGGTCACCAGCAGTTTTTTGTTCAGTTGTTGTTTTCTGAGAAGTCTCAGGTAGTATAATCTGCTGGGCCCTTTTGACCAGTGCTGCAATGTGAGCACCAGTGCTGCAAGGTGAGGTCCTCTTTTATGGTAACACCCAGAAACTTAAAACTGGCCACTTGCTCCACTCAGTCTCCATTGATAAGCAAGGGCTGGATGTCTGATCTGTTCCTTCTATAGTCCACTATAAGCTCCTTGGTCTAATTGGTGTTGAGGACCAAGTTATTGTCTCCACACCACGAAAGCAAGCAGTCTACCTCATCTCGGTAGGAAGACTCATCCTCCCGGAGATGAGTCCCACCACTGTTGTATCATCTGCAAATTTAATAATAGTACTACTAGCATGAGTACGAATGCAGTCATGCACATAAAGAGTATAGAGTAAGGGATTTAACACACAACCCTGTGGTGTACCAGTATTAAGAATAAGGGCTGAAGAGGTATGATTACCTAATCTGACCCTCCGTGAGTGGCCAAACAGGAAATCCATAATCCAAAGGCATTATATATATTATATATATTACTTGATAAGGATTTTTTTTAAAAGTTAAATCTTAAGGAAAGTGATATACCTTTATAATATCCTTCAAGTTTGTTTTCTTCCAGTGAAATATTTTAGAAGTGGATACAGGGATGTAAATATTTCAACTACCTATTGATTTCAAGTGGCACTCTCACTGCTATTTATCCCAATTTCTAAGAAAATTTAATTTTTAATGTCTATAATTTTCCCCATTAAATAAATTGCATTAACACATCCATACATAGTATACATAGTATGACCTGGTAACAGAAAAGGTTTAATTAAGAATTCAAATAGAGATTATTTCCATTAATAATAATGAAGCTGGCTATTGTGCATATCATTTCTCTTCCTTTGGCTTATGTCATATTAAACAAAGAATACGAAAAATAAAAAGGAGTGATGTTTGGAGAGTTTCTCATGGTCAGCTCTCATGTGAAACTAACATTGCAGACTCAATAGTTCTGGAAAGCTGGGAAAAAACATTCAATTCCAATTCTCACATTATAATGGCTGGTATCAACATGAGTGTAGAGGAATCAATAAAGCTTTCTGGGCCCAAAGATAAATCTCTCAGATGGAGCCCTCCATTGGTGAGACAATGCAAATACAGTCCCCCTTTGTCTGCAGCAGATGAGGATAGTAGGAGAAAGGAGTTCTTTACTGCCATTGCAACAATGGGCTTGAACCCCAAAAGGTTTTCCCTCAATTCTTCAGCCACCATAAAATATTCTTTCCTCCTTCTGTTTTACCTTCTGCATTCAGACCCTAACCTGGAGTCAGCAACCCATGGCTCCAGAGCCACATGCGGCTCTTTCGTCCCACTGCTCCCTGTTGGCTTAACCCACCACTGGCTCACCCCGTCCCTCACCCTCCCCTCCCCTCCCAGTAACTCCTTGCCTGGCCTGAGAAGGTAAGGGTGATAGTAGGGAATGAAGACTTGCTCCATATTCCAGAGCAGGAGTAAAATGCCCCTTGCCTACTTGCCTCATCTCGTGGGTGTTTCTTCTGGCCCTTATTGGTGCTACGTGCACCTCAGTTGCTTGGAGAGATGCACAACTTGCTCTCTGCTGTGAGACACTGGTCTGGTCCAGCTGTGGCTGACGCCGCTGCTCTCATCACCTCCATAGCCTGCACGCTGCTCTCGGAGCACCTTGTTCGCTTTACAGTGGGGGAGACAGCATCCCCTTCTCCTTCTGGAGCCCATTACAACATGGAGCATCAGCCACAGCTGGGCCAGGCCAGTGTCTTGGGGCAGAGAGCAAGTTGTGTGTCTCCCCAAGTAACCAAGGTTCATGCAGCACCAACAAGGGCTGGAAGAAAAACCCACGAGATGAGGCAAGTGGTGCTTTGCTCCTGTTTTGGAACATGGAGTGTATCTCCATCCCCTGCCATCACCCTTACCTTAGGGGCCAGGCAAGGAGTGACTGGAGGCAGGGCGAGGGGGCAGGGGCAGCCAGTGGTGAGTTCAGCCAACAGGGAGCCACAGCAGGGGGGCAAAAAACCCCAACCCTCACCTGTTTTTGGAAATGGTTCAAGAGGGAACACACACAGAGAGAGAGAGAAAGAGAGAGAGAGAGAGAGAGAGAGAGAGAGACATAGAGAGAGAGATGAGAGACAGAGACAGACAGAGAGGGAGGGAGGGAGAGATGAGAGATAGAGAGAAAAAGAGAGATAGAGATAGAAAGAGAGAAAGATAGATAAAGAGAGGGAGAGAGAGAGATGAGAGAGAGAGAGAGAGAGAGAGAGAGAAAACACCGAGAGTCACAAAATCTGGGTAGACATGGCTGGGGGGAGGAGTGTCATGTGACTGGATGGGAGTGTGACATTGAGTTAGCCATGCCCACCCAGGTTTTCTGGCTCCCAGTGTTTTCTTTTCTGTGGGAAACAGCTCCAAATGGCTCTTTGAGTGTTTAAGGTTGCAGACCCCTGCCCTAACCTCGTTAGAGCTCTTCCTCTAATATGACCTAGTCCAGTGGCTGTCAAACGGTGGGCCGCAGACCATGAGTGGTCCATGAGACATGTCACCCCCAAAGCAATTAATCCAGGCTGCACGGGAACACGAGGCTGTGTGTGTGTGTGTGTGTGTGTGTGTGTGTGTGTGAGAGAGAGAGAGAGAGAGAGAGAGAGAGAGAGAGAGAGAACATCATCACCAGCCCTCTAAGGTTCAATCAGATCTCTCTCTCTCTCTTTTCCCCAGTGGAAGTGGTGGAGCTTCAGTGCTTCGCCAGCAGGGAGCCAGACGAGGCATGTCGCTCAATCTTTTTGGCCATGAAAGAAGTGGCCCGGGGGTCAGGCGAGGCATGTGGGGGAAAAAGTATGACTGTCAATTATCTGAAAGCCTGCACTCACAAACAAAAAAATCTCCACATCACAAGCCAAGCAAACACCTGGGCACAAACAGACACCCCCCCCACCGATACCTCCAGCCCAAACACACCCCAACCAGCCACCCAGATGAAACCTAGCTTCCTAATAAATGATAGCCAGCCATTTATTTGAAGCCAAGCTGTGCTAAAAGCCCCCAAGACATGAAACACAATGTTGCTAGCTAATCAAGACAAAAAAATCGCTACAAAACAGACAGAAAATATTAGAAACACCAATCAAGCAGAACACAGCAAACTCCAAGACCAATAAACACAGACCAAGACTCCCAATCAATCAGGATGAAGAAAAAACCATTCAAACAAAGCATGAGGCTAACACCAAATTTAAAACAGAAATGGCTGCAAAAGCCTGACACACAGACAAACCCAATACACAAGCAAACATATATATGTGTGTGTGTGTGTGTGTGTGTGTGTGTGTGTGTTTTCAATCTATGTTTTCATAGATTTTCATGGGTACAGGTATGTAGGTCTTGGTGTGTTTGGGTCTTTCCTCCCCTACATCAAAGGTACCACAGATAAAATCAGCAAAATTCTCCACAAACACAATATCAGGACAGCCTTTGGTACTGACCAAAAAATACCCAACATCCTAAGAAACCCCAAGGACAAGATCCAGCTATGAAATACCATGCAACAACTGCCCAACCACATACATTGGACAAACCAACAGGAGAATAAATGCACCCATTGCAGAACACAAGAACGCAGTCAGAAAAGAAGAAAATACTGGACTTCCGGTGGCAGGTCAGGGACGTCCAGAGGTGGAGAAGCCCAGCTGGGGCTTTCGAACACCTCTTCTCGCGTTTGGAGGGATCCCCGGTGGATACACGAAACCTGTAGAGCTTCGTGTCAGAATAGAGGACCCCCGGGTTGCTGTTTGGGGGTAGGCAACTCCCCAGCAATGAAGGAAGAGCCTCTGAGACCAGCGCGATTGAGCCAGCTGCCAGCTAATGGCGGCTCCAAAGTCCGGTCTGCCACTGAACGGACGAAGCAAAAAGTGACTGCCTGAAGGGTCTGAGCAGAAAAGGGCAGAAGGACTACAAAGCTGTGAGAGAGATCGGTCTGATTCTCCCTGTTTCATTGTGAGTAACAGTGGGGGAAGCTGGAGACAAGCGGCTAGAAAAGCAGTTTGGAAGTGTGGATTGGAGCATTGCCGAGGAGAGAAAAAGGCGTGGGGAATTTAAGAAGCTCAGGAGTGGATTGCCATCTCGGATCAGCGCGTGAGAAGGCTAGAAGACTAGGAGAGGATTTTAGCTGCAAAGGAGGGCAGAGCGAGAGGTAGAGAGCCAGATAATGACGCACTGACTTTTATATGCAAGATCCTTTCCTTTCAGCATTATTGCCTACAAACTGATTTTTAAAGTGATCGATCTGAGGCGGATGCCCAAAGTGATTGTGGATTGACAATTGTTGGCAGAAGGGAAGAAGAGGAGGGAAGAAGAAGGAAGAGACAGACGGAAGCCTGACCAAGACTGTTCGCTGATCGCAGACAGCAATTAGTCAGCACTTCCTCCCG